TGCAGTGAATGGGATCTCTATGCCTGATGGCAGTGGTGCCTGTGATTATCGGCAGTTTCATCTAATATGCCCAGCCCTGTCACATTTTCAACACATCTTTGGAGCATTTTCTGAACGGATGGACCATAAGGTTACTGTGGAGATAGGGCAGCAAGGACTAAATTTGCACATGCAGTACAGAATTCTGTTTGGCATGCCTCTTTAACTTAACATCTATATCCTTGTCCACGCTAACAGTGACCTCCCTGATTGCAGCATTTTCCTGCTCTTTCTCCATAATCTGGACAATGTGATCCTGTGTATCAAAGAAAGATAATTTAGTCACAATGAAATATCCTCAACTCTATTTGGAGGTTCCCATCCCTTGTTGCATCTGACAGGCAGTTGTTCTGCTGCTTGTCCTTGGCCAACACGAAGAAGCGAGACAGAAGGTAATGTAATTGAACAACTTCGCCAGTTATAGACTAAAGAGTACACACCCACCCCTTCAGTTTGCTTGTATGCATAAAATCTTTGTTGTAGCTGTGTCAGATTACTTGTGTCCCCAAATCCCATGTCAGTTCCACAATGATCTGATGTGTACATCTGTGAACATCTGTACCTCTTAATAATATTTCCCAATATACTCAGCAAACAATTGACAAGCCGAACTTACTTGTCTCCTGAAGGAAAAGGCTGAGTACTGAAGCCTACATGGATTTCCAAAATGCGTTCAATGAGGTGCTCCATAAGAGGTTATTCAGCAAGATAGACTCTCACAGAGTCAGGCTAATGTATTAGAATGGACAGAGGATTGGTCAATGGATAGGAGTGATCATAAATAGGGCACTTTCAAGTTGATCTGTGACCAGTGGAGTGCCACATGACCATTTTCTGTGATCTCAGCTATTTACAATCGATATTGTGCATTTGGACAAAAAGACAGTGAATAGTGTGTCTAAAGTAAAACAAAGAACTGCAGATGCTGGAGATCTGAAGCAAAAAGACAGACATTGCTGCAGAAAATCAGCAGGTCTGGCAGCATCTGTGAGAAGAAAGCACAGTGAACATTTCAAGTCCAGCGACTCTTCATCAGAACATTTAATGCATTTAAGCTTGCTAATGATAAAAACCTAGGTAGAAAGATAAACTGTGGTGGTGAGACAGAGAGGCTGCAAAGAGACATAGGCAGATGAAGCAACTGGGCAACATGATAGAAGATGATTTTTGATTTGATTTGATTTATTATTGTCACATGTGCCTTGGTACAGTGAAAAGTTTTGTTTTGCATGCAGTACAGGCAGATCACACAATACAAAGCGCATTAGGGTAATACAACAGAATGAAGAATAATTTTACGGCTGCAGGAAGGTGCTCCAGAGAGTGAGGGCAACATTAAATTTAAAATCTGAGGGGTCTATTCAGAAGTCTAATGGCAGCGGGGAAGAAGTTGTTCTTGGATCCATTGCTACATGTGTTTAAGCCATTGTTATCTTCTGCCCAACGGAAGAGGTTGGAAGAGATTATAACTGAGATGGGAGGGGTCTTTGATTATTTTGGCTGCCTTCCTGTGTCAGTGGGAAGTATAGATGGAGTCAATGGATGGAAGGTTGGCTGTGTTCACAACTGTCTGAGTTTCTTACTGTCCTGGGAAGATCAGTTGCCATACCAAGCCATGATGCATCAGGATAGAATGCTTTCTATGGTGCCTTTATAAAAATTAGTAAGAGTCTTTGTGGACATGCCGATTTTCCTTAGCCTCCTGAGGAAGCAGAGATGCTGTTGTCTTTCTTGACCATAGCTTCAACATGGGTGAACCAGGACAGATTGTCGGTGGCCATCACTCCTAGGACCTTGACACTGTCGACCATCTCCACCTCAGCTCCATTGATGCAGACAGGACATGTCCTCCGCCTTGCTTCCTGAAGTCAATGGAGTATGATATTGAAGATGGAGTATGATGTGAAGAACCATGCCTTCATTCACTTTCCTTGTAAGAATAGAAATGCAGCATATTTTTTGAAATGTGTGAAACTTATAAATGTTGATGTTCAGAGAGATTTGGGTATATTCATACAAGGAACACAAAATATCAACGTGCTGGTTCATCAAACAATTAGGAAGACAACTGGCATGTTAGCCTTTATTACAATGGGATTGAACACAGGAATAAACAGTCTGGCTACAATTGTACAGAGCTTTAGTAGTCCCACATCTGGAACAGTGTGTCAAGTTTTAGATTGTACTTTTAACAAAATATATATTTGCATTAGAAATGATTTGGCAAGGGTTAAGTAAATTGATGCGTGAGATGAGGGTCTGTTCTATGATGACTTAATAAATTGAATCTGTAATCGCTGAAGTTTAGAAAAATGTGAAGTGATCTCAACAAAATATACAAGATTCTGAGGAAGCTTTGTACTGCAGATGAGCCTTGAGAACATCAGAATAAACTTCTAGCAATCTAATATATTTCACTCATACACACTGAATAGTGAGAGGAACACACTCTCATTTATGAAACCAAGTGAAACCTTTAAATCTCCGCAAGAGGTTAACCTGTTATAAAAATGAATATTTCTATCCAGAGGCCATATCAAAGAAATTATTTAAAAGCCTCTTTAAATTGTTCATAAAGCTGTGAAATCAGAACAACCTGCTGAGATAATTTTAGATTTTGAAACATTGCCAAGTATTCATATTAATGTAAAACAACCCTTGGGAAATGTCAACAACAAACTCAATTGAAACTATGGAAGAGGTCCTCATTTTTTTCTGACTTACATCGGGTGCTCTGTTAATTAAAGCAACCTAGAAGACATTTTTCAAAACTTTCACTGACATTGTGTGCTTGGATTACTTTGCAAATTTAAAGGGGAGGGGATTAAATAGCTTCAGATCATAACGCCTAAACTGATACCTTTACCCCTTCAAGAAAATGTTCAATTTTCTCTATCACAGAAGATTAAGTAATAGTCAATTCAGCCTGTTTGAACTCAGCAATAAGTTTCAATTACCCTGATGAATTCAGGTTTTCCATGTAGCAAAATCATACACCTTCCCAGCAAAAATGGGATCTGTCAGAAATTGGGTGGGACTTTTGCTGTTGGGTCCTGCATGCCATTTCTAAAGGTCCACGGGGTCTTCCTGACTCCATGAAAGTCTGAGCCTTAGTCTCAGTCAAATGAATTTATTTTTTTCTTTTACTTTACCTGTCATTTTCTTTCTTTTCCCATCCTCTCCTGCAGCTGACAACTTGCAGTGGAGTCAATATAAATGGACACTATAAAAATTTGCCACAAATACTTTTCTTCATTTGCAAGTTTGAACATTGAGAGTGGGGAATTGTTCAACCGTAAGACATCAGAGTTAAGCTGCTCCCCTTTTAATGAAAATCCACAATGCACTGTACATGGAAATGAGGTCAATGGACAGCAATCAGGATTGAAAACAGTAGTGCGGAGAGAAAGCAGAATCAATGTTTTGGGTCCAGTGACCCCTTTTAGAACTGGACCTGAATTGTTAACTCAGTTTTGTCTCCACAGATGCTGCCAAACATACTGAGTTTTTCCAGCAATTTTTGCTTTTGTTTCTGATTTCCAACATCCGCATTTATCTCGGTGTTTTGAAAACAGTAGCAGATGTTTGTCTTCCTTTTTTACAGGTGCTGAGACCTCACCCTCACTGCATTAACTGAAAGCAGCAAATTCAGCTCAGTCCCTCTTCACATGATTTGCAGAGGCATCATTGGAAGATAAAGTGAGCAGAGCAGGAAAGGCGCTGTTGATGCACTTTTTGCTGTTTTTGCTTCAACAACCAAGTGAAATTTGGGCTCCAAACTTCATCTTTAAACTTTCTTGATCCCTGTTGCTCACACTAAATTTCATTACATGGCATTTAAGGTTTTTCTCATGAATTTGTTGTGGTATTGTCAACTTTCATTAATACTGTTATCATTTTGGCTCCCTCAATTTTCTTGAAGGCAGGGTTCTGGATGTAGTGGTTTGTGGATGACATAATAAAGGGGGCAGGAAAATTATAAGAGAATATACTGAGAAAGTGATGGGATGATGACAGTATTGTGTTCTCCTGAACAATAGCTGCAATATGAGAATGCAAGAATGGCTAAATGTAGGTGCATGGGAGGCTGAGTTGGTTGGATAAACGCCGAGTCAACATCTTTTGTAAATCAAACAAAGATAAATAGCAAGCACTTGCTTATATTAGAAAAATACTGTGAATAATTATAATAAAAACAATTATGATTGAGTTACTGAAAAGTGTGATACGTAGGCTTTGGACGGAACATATAGGGTTTGTAGACTATCCACAAGAAAATTATGATTAGTAAATTTATTAATTAATGTCTTATAACATGCTAGACATTCCTTCTTTATAATAAACTGTTGAATTTTATTCTATTGATTTGCATTAATTAAGACAACCAATAATCCTTCAATGCAGATAGGAATTAAAAGGATTTGAGTTGATACCCCAGTTAAAGATTTTGTATCTGCATAGACCTCATGGGTGAAATAGCCTTTTATGAGCTATTAGTTTCAATGATTCAATGAAATGCTAAGCTTTGGCTGTTCATGCACATCTGTGTGTTGACATCCAGCCTTTTCTCCCTATCTTTATTTCACACCTAACACAGAAGCCAAAAGAACAGCACCATCCTGCAGGGAAAAGTGAAATAATTTCTAAAATAAATCGTTTCAGTTCAGCATTTTTACTGGAGTTATGAGCACTGAGGTAACATTGCCTCAAAAACGCAATCTCTAATTTGCTCAATTTTGGGAAAAGGAAAACATCTTTAGCATTGCCAAGGATGTTGAGAAACGGTTTTACCAGAAAATGAAGATAACCAGTTGTTTGTTAAAGATGTGCATGTTGTATAAATTGTCAATGTGTTTGAATTTGTCACAGTTTGTAAAGTAAAAACATAAGACAAATAAAATGACTACCTCCAATTCTATAACATATATCATGATATAAAGTGAATGGCTTTTACATCAGGGTTTTGGTAACAAAAGTAAACTGTCCAAGCTTTATTGAATGATTTTTGTCATCACCTCAATTACTTGATGAGATTCCTGCATTGCAGTCATTGTTACATATCCAATACTTTTGTTTGCAACAGCATACGAAAAGACACAGCAGAAGTTGTGAAAAACATTATCAACAGTATTTTATACCCATTAAAGTCATAAGGATGTTGACTTAGTGTGATAGTGTATATCATTTAATCATAGATTTCTAGAGCAAATAAGGAAGTCATTTAGCATATTGTGCCTGTGCTAGCATAATGTAACAACTATTTAATTAGTCTATTCTCCTTCGCTCTTTTTCTATAGCTTTTTCAAGTATGTATCCTATTCCTTTTGAAAATTATTATTGAATTTGCTTCCATCACTCCTTCAGGCAATATATTGCTGACCATGACAACTCATTAAATAAAGAATCTTCTCTTTTTACTTTTTTTTTGCTGATTATCTAAATCTCTGCCTTTTGGCAATCAACTCTCTTGTTACTGAAAATAGTTTTTCAATTCATTCTCTCAAAACTCTGCATAATTTTGTACACCTTTATCAAATCATTCCATTACATTCTCTGTTCTGAGTGAACAATTTTGGCTTCTCTCTACAAGAAAAATGGATCATTGCATAAGATGATAAACTAACTCCTGAAACTTCGAGACGACACATCCAGCCTTCAAAAGGACGATGGAAAAGAACAGGAAGAACAGAAGAAAATCAATGTGGTGGGAAGTCTAGAGGGTAATTAATGGTAAACTTGTTGATAGCAAATAAGCAGCCCATTTTATATCACTTCCGATTTTCTATTATCTATCTTACACTTCTGCACAAAGTTCAAGTTGACCCTCCAATGTTTTACAGTGAAATCATCATCCACTTTCAGAATAATTTGTCTGTTCTTGAAGCTGATCCTTTAAAAATAGTTACTAATTTTGTCAGTTGGCAGAAGGAAACTGCTGAAGAGTTGTATTATCTTTTTCCTGATTTACTTCTCCAGCTTTTTAGTCTTCAGGCGTATTCCATTTTTTGACCGGAGGACTATTTGGGGTGTTTTAATTGGTGGATTGGCTTCATCAACTTCCAATTCAAATCGATTAAGAATTAGTGCAGCAGCCACCTTCATTTCATTCATGGCAAAATGCTGACCAATGCAGTTCCTAAAAATAATAAACACATTGAAATTTATAAGTGGCAGTCTTTCAATCTTTCTTTGAAAGTCAACAAATCAATAAGTTAATATTCTTCACATAAATATTTAAAGGTGTCATGCATTCTGCTGAACTGAATTGAATTCTGGTCCTGGTCAGTTTGGTTATTAATTTACCATTGTATTAGCCATCTTGCTTCTTGACAAGATACGTTAACATCCATTTCTAAACAATGTACCGTCATTCTGATAATTCACACTATTCCTATAATCAAACATTGTCCAATATCTTTTAAATCATTGTCATTACATACTCCAGGGGACTCAAGAAACCAATTTAAGACTCTATTCTTTGTGATGGACAATCTGTACCTCAACATTCCAGCATAACTATTGAGGTATGCCTAATCATAACCTCTGGCATTAATGCCTCCGATATTTTTGGGTCAGAGAGAAATCTTCAGATTTAAATATCACGGGCAAATGTTTGAACCACTAGATGAAAAATCTTAGGCTCCATCCTGCCCAGTGGCAATAAAATGTAATGGTGAATGTCAAGTATTGGGAGTTGTCACCTAGGCTTTGAGAAAAAAATGTCAGAAGTGTGTTGTTAGCACCTTTGGTAAGGGGTTCAGAAGCTTTTAAGAAATGATCAGCAATCACCAGGGGCTCAGGCTACAATTCTGGCCTGGATCATCATTTGGTAATCTGATATATTTGGTCTCATCTGGGCTACTAGCTTTCTGGGTTTTGAGAGAATGTTAAAATAACACATCCACTGGACGTGGGTTTTGCTGGAAAGACCTTAATTTATTGCCCATCAAGCAGTGAACAGTTCACCATACTGATGTAGGTTCAGAGTCACATGTAGGCCAGGCCAGGTAGGGATGGTAGTTTCCTTCCTGTAAAGGACCTTAGTGAACCAGATCGGTTTTTATGACTATCAACAGTGGGATTAACATCTATATGAACATCTATGAATGGTCACCTTTGGGCTAGTTTGTTTATTTGAGTTTTTTTTAAACTGAATTCAAATCTCACCATCTACCTTGTTGTTGGGATTTGAACCCATGTCTTATGATCATTAACCTAGAGTTCTGGATTACTGGTCCAATGTCACAACCACTATGCCACCACCTCCCCTCAATGGGGAATCCTATGGCATAGTAAGGTCCTGACCAAATCTGTGGGCCTTCTGTCTAACTCTCAGTAATCCCTTATTTCCTAAACCTTGCATGGCATCATTCCTCTCAAATTATGGATTTTGAGATAGCCATCCACAGAAACATACATAGAAACATAGAAAACAGGGTCAGGATTAGCCCTTTGAGCCTGCTCAATAATTCATTTTGATCATGCCTGATCATCCAACTCAATAGACTGCTCCTGCTTTTCCCCATATTCTTTGATCATTTTACCTCAATTTCCAAGACTCATCTCTTCATTTGATATTATGTGATTTATTTTCTATCTCTGTACCACCAAAAGTTATTCGTTGAGCCATTTACCTTTGGAACTCTCTCCCTAAGCTTCTCCAACTGGATCCATTTAATCTTGCTTTGATAACCTCATAGCATTTGATCCTGCCTTTGGTCTCTTTCCACTAATGCCTCCTCAACCCACCCCAAAGATCACTGAATTTTTTTAACAAGAGATGTCTCCACCCACACCTCCCCAAACTTTGTATTTTTGATCATCATGTTGTAGATCCCAATATCATGTATTATTTAAAGTAACATAAGGATATAAAACAGTTCTGCTGATTTGGAATACATCCATTTAGTACACCTACTGTAAACTAAGTTCATACAAAAATAATTTGCTTCAAGAACAACATCAAGTTGATAGTCAACAGTTCTGATGTCCTACCTTGGTCCAACAGAAAATGGTATGAAGGAATGGTGGTGCCTATGTTCTGAATTTTCTGGGCTAAACCTCAATGGATTATATTTCTGATAAGAAAAGGCAATAGTAAGCATCTGTTAGAAATATGTTGTCTACATATGGTTGTACAAACATAACAAAAAGCTAGGTTATAGTAAATCTGCTTCATAAAAGTCTATCTTGCTTATGGTGTTATAGCATTGCATTTTCACATCATCATTTAGAGAGCTATAATATACTGAATTTAAAAGGGTACTTGACAGGAACTTGCCTGTAGATGAAGAGGCTGAAATATTTGTTGGATAACAGATATCAGGTTGGAATTTTCTCAGCAAGCTTGCTCTTGGAACACAAATGCAGGCTTTTTCAGTATCTTTTAATTAGTTACTGTCAAGCTTGCCATGTAATTAAGAATGGAAGGGTGGTGGGGGACTACTTTTCCAAGCTGGATCTTCAATCATAGGGTCAGCAGTCATGAAGCATTGGCACCATTACCAAGGAAGTCTACTAAATGCAGTGGCTGCAAGGTGGGAAAAGTGGCTGGTTCCATTTTGAGCTACTACCTTCGTAGTTGAAAACTGTTTTTCTGCGCTGGGATAAGTAGGTAAGACCTGACAATAGGAGGTGCTGGGGGCAGAAGTGGGGAGTGGCAGGGGTGCAGCATTAATCTCCAGTGGTGGAGTCAGAACTGTGTGCTGGCCTTTGATCCATGGCTTCTTTCTTATGCCAAGGCCCCTCAAAAGTGATAGGGTGCCAGTTGCTGGGAAGCGACCGGGAGACTGTAATCATGCACCCAGATGCTTTTCCACATTGCAGGAGTCACTCCATCTCTGGTAGTCCAGAAAAAACAGCCTTTAATTGGACCTTTAATTATTCAAATAGGCCTTCTGCCTCTGGTCAGCAGAGTGCTGAGTCACTGCCATTCCCACCACTGGTGACTTGACAGTATGACTGCTCCAGGGAGCCCTCCCAATGTGCTTCCCTCCAATCTTACCACAGCAGCCTGATACCCCAGTCAAAGCTCACTTCTGATGTGTATTTCTCACTCTCAAGTGTGGTCAACTTTACAAAATTCTACTTGTAAATCACATTTTGGATAGAACTGAACTTTTTTTTAACCTCAGTGGCTGAAGTTATTGCATTCTATTGTTACACGCAGTAAAATACTTCTCCATATCAATCCTGTCCAAAGCAGAATGTACAATAGTGCTCTTATTCGAATCGTGTGATGCATCAGTGAGACTTAATTATTTATCACGATCATTCAGATCCAACCGTAAGTAAGGAGGAACTTTAAATAATTAATGACAACTATATCTTATAGATATTAGCAAATAATTCCAGGTCACAATGTACTAAGAGATTGAGATACCATTGATAAACCACACAAGCTTTATCCTGGTTGTTTGTTTTTGGTGACGTATTTCTACCTTGAAACGTGCTACAAAGTGTTGTATATTATCCCATTTATGTTTTATTTTGATCTCAATAATTCAAAAAAAATCTCATAGCAACTCCCTAGCACGATGGACTAATTTTGATCTCTATCCCACATTCAGCTGCTGATGTTCTCATTTGTTAAAGGCTGTGATTTTAAGCTTATTAGCAGCAATGAGGAATATCACATTTTACAGGCAGCAATTTCTCAGTCTCAAACAGGAATGCGCTTGTCCTTGGCCCACTGGTCTTCAGCTGATTCGCCAATGACCTTCTCTTCATCAGAAGGTTATACGTGGGGATTTTCACTGATGATTGTACAATGTTCAGCATCATACATGAATCCTCAGATACTAAAAGCAGCCCATGTCCAAATGCAGAAAGACCTGAACAATGTCCAAGTTTTGGCTGTGAAGTGGCAAGTAATATTCATGCAACACAAGTACCAGGTAATGACCATCTCTAACAAGAGAAAATCTAACTATTGTCCCTTAACATTCAATGGCATTACTATTACTGAATCCCCCATTATTATCATCCTGCAGTTACCACCAACCAAAAATTGAACTAAGCTAGCAATAAATATTGTGGCTACAAGTGCAGGTCTGGAAGGAGAAGTGCAGCAGATACGTAGGAATACCATCACCTGCAGGTTTCCTTCTAAGCTATTCACCACCCTAGCTCAGGAAATATATTTATGCTTCTTCAGTGTCACCAGGTCAAAATCTTGGAACTCCCTCTCTAACAGCGTTGTATATCGACCGACAGCAAATAGATTACAAGGGTTCAAAGCTCACCGTCTTCTTCTTAAGAGTAACTAGGGATGGGCAATAAATGCTGGCCCAGCCAGCTATGTCCTCACATTTGATAAATGAATAAAAACAAAAGAAGTTGGCTGTACACACGTCTCCACAGAGTGAGAGATGGAGCATTTTGGCAAGGGGTGTGCCATGTATTGACTGATCATGATACTTTGATATAGCATCCTATTTTGACAAGTGCTCAATCAGTCATGGGGCAAATCAATAACAGTTTATCTAAGTGCTGCATCTACAATGAACCCTTCTCCTCCAAGTATCTCACATCACCCAGCATTGCACATTTAGGTGTCTTGATTGTTCTTCCAGTCCAGGCAGAGAAGGGATCAGTTCCACATATCTTTGCACTCTAGGAGCTCTTGCATTAGCTGTGCGCAATGTGACCGTAGAGGGTGGCTCATAAGTGGCATGAACTGCCGGAGGAAATGGTAGATGTACAAACAGTTACAATATTTAAAGGAAATTTGGATAAGAAAGATTTAGAGGGATATAGGCTAAGCATGCACAATTGGGACTAGTTTGGTTTGAGAAACCTGGTCGACATGGACGAGTTGGACTGAAAGGTCTGTTTCTATGCTGTATGACTCTATAACATTTGAACCCTGCATACATATCACATGCACGGTGATATCATTGCAAAGGATGTGAACTTGCTCAATGCAGGTTCATGATTGATGCAGCTGCCCATTGAAGGGCCTGCCATCATACAAAAAGGGTGTCTACATTTTTGGCCATCAAACGGTCACTAACTTCACTTAATTTGGGTGTGGTCCCAGCCATTTTTCCATTCTCAGGTTATTTTTAGTTATCGGCAGATCATAGAAGGAAACTCAGGTTGAGTACGAGGTTCAGCCTGATCGCCAGGTCCACATCCTCTACCCCAAACCCCCAATCCCCCCACCCCAAGCCTCCATGTTTCTTTGTACCCAGCATACCCTGAATAACCGAGCTTGACCAAATCACCACATGTATCCACCCACACCTTGAATTGAGACTCCAACAATCTTTCTTACTCTTAAACTCCATCACTACAGTCTGGTAATGCCCATCATTGCCAGCACAGATCATCATCGAGGCCACGGTGGTGGTGACCACCTGCTACCCCTTCTCCCACAGCATCTCAAGTCCTCCCATGCATTACCAACTCCTCCTTCTATGTAGATGTCGTTTCCCCCTCTTTACTGTTTTTGTCACCTCTGCATTCCAGGCTGCAGCCTACAATCCTCAGTATTGATTCCCTCCACCTCCTTACCTCGACAGTGCCCAGCATTGACTATGGCCCAATGCCCTGACTGTAATGAGACAGATCCCTTGACTGTGACTGCCCAAATGACTGACTGTGCCCAAGCCCTAATCTGTGAGTAGTTGCACCCTTGAATGCCTTGACTGAGAGCAAGCCCTTTGACTCAACTGAGGACGATTCCCTTTTGACTTGGAAGCATGACTATTTGGTTGATAAACATGTAGTGTGTTCACCATATAGGCTGCTGGCACATGCTTTATGTGAGGGATTGACATAATTTGGTGCTGTACAGCAACATGTCTAGCCTTTGACCAATGATGGCTGACAAGCTGCCTACCATTGTCCCTTGCTAAGCAGAAAGCCAGAAGAGAGTCATAGAGTCATACAGCACGGAAACAGACCCTTTGTTCCATCCAGTTCATGCCAAACATAATTCCAACAAAATTAGTCCCACCTGCCTGCTCCTGGCCCATACCCCTCCAAACCTTTCCTATTCATGTATCCATCCAAATGTCTTTTAAACATTGTAACTGCACCCGCATCCACTACTTCCTCCGGAATTTTATTCCACACACAAACCACCCTCTTTGTAAAAAAAAATTGCCTCATGCTTTTTTTTAAAACTCTCTTCTCTCACCTTAAAATTGTACCCCCTAGTCTTGAAATTCCCTTTTCCTAGGGAAAAATCAACTACCACCAACTCTGTCTATACCTGTCATTAAATTATAAACTTCTATCACATCGCCTCTCAACCTCCTAAGCTCCAGTGGAAAAGTCCCAGCCTATCCAGCCTTTCTTTATAACTCAAACCTTCAATTCCTGGCAACATCCTAGTAAATCTCTTCTGAACCCTCTCCAGCTTAATAATTTCCTTTCTATAACTGGGTGACTAGACCCGAACACAATACTCCAGAAGAGGCCTCACCAGTGTCCTGTAAAACCTCAACGGGACATCCCAACTCCTATACTGAAGGACTGAGCAATGAAGGCAAATGTGCCAAATGCCTTTTTGACCACCTTGTCTATATGTGACACGAACTTCAAAGAATTATGTACCTGCACTCCTAGGTCCCTCTGTTCTACCATGCTACCCAAAGCCCTACCATTAATTGTGTAAGCCCTACCCTTGTTTGTTGTACCAAATGCAATACCTCGCATTTAACCACATTAAACTCCATCTGCCATTTTCAGCCCATTGATCCATTTGATAAAGATCCCTTTGTAATCTTAGAAAACCTTCTTTACTGTCTACTATGCCACTAATTTTGGTGTTATCCACAAACTTACTAACTATGCCTTCTATATTCTCATCCAAATTATTTATATAAATGATAAACAAAAGACGACCCAGAACCAATCCCTGTGGGATACAGCTGGTCACAGGTCTGCAGTCCGAAAAGCAACCCTCCACCATTACTCTGTCTCCTGTCTTTAAGCCAATTGTATACCTAATTGGCAAGCTCACCCATGTGACCTAACTTTACTTATTAGTCTACCAGGTGAAACCTTGTCAAACGCTTTACTAAAATCCAAATAAATAATGACTACTGCTCTGCCGTCACCGATCTTTTTGGTAACTTCCTCAAAAAAATCAGTCAAGTTTGTTACACATGATTTTCCTTACAGAAAACCATGCTGAATATCCCGAATTAATTTTTGCCTTTCTAAATGTCCATTATCTTATTATAATCACCTCCAACAATTTACCCACAACCGAAGTCAGACTCACAGGTCTATAGTTCCCTGGTTTCTCCTTTCAACCTTTCTTAAACAGAGGTACAACATTAGCCACCTTCCAGCCATCTGGCACCTCACCCGTAGTTATAGATGATGCAAATATTTTTGCAAAGGATCTCGTAATTTCCTCCATTATTTCCTACATGTCCTGGAATACATTAGATCAGGTCCCAGAGATTTATCCACCTTTATATTCTCTAACTCATCCCGAATTTCCTCTTCTGTAATGTGAACTGTTTTTGAAACATCAAAGTTTATTTCTCTGCATTCTCTAGACTCCATTTCTTTCCCCACAGTAAAAACTGATGCAAAATATTCATTTAGTATCTCTCCCATCTGCTGGGGTTCAACACAAAAATGACATCCTTGATCTTTAAGAGGCGCTACCCTCTCTATAGCTACCCTCTTGTTTTCAATGTATTTGTAGAATCTACAAGCCTTAAACCTCTGAACGGGCAGGCACAAAAAGTCAGAGCAAGGCAAGACAGAGATGCAGTGAGCAGCCAGGTGGGGGCTGAGTGAGTGATCACAAAAAAAGTGAGCAATTAGACCTGAGATGCAGCCTGGTCTGAACACTGAGCTGATTGCCTGTCTCTGTGTGCAAAGTGCCTTTGCACCAGCATTGCAATGATGGTTGCCAGTGTGATCCAACATGCAGCATTGAAATGTAGTAGCATTCTGCAAGTGGACTGGAGATGTGCCAATGGTAACCTGTAGCACACATCAGATTCCAGTCTCCATGGACATAGAATGTATATGGCCAACGTCCATGGAGCATGTCCTGAGAAATTGATGTCGTGTGTCCAAGATGAAGGTTTTGAGGAACAAGCAGCAAGCAAGAGTCAAAAAGCACCCACTTTTACTTTCATGTTGGGGAATCTCTGCGTCAAATTTCTATCTGGTGGGTGGTAGAGTAGGAGACTGCAGATTATTAAAACAATATTAAATAGTAATGTGGGTGATAATATATAATAATTCCTGTCAGTAGGAATCTTTTTGTTAACGAGCAAAAATCTCAGCACAATATCCATAAATCTGTTGGAAAATGGGACATTTTGTTTCTGGTATTGAGAAAGGCCTAGTTTGAATTGACACACAATTCCCCCAAATTTCTAGTCATAGCCTATGTGATCATGATCTGAGAAGAGTAGTGTTCCTTGCCTCTAAACTAGAACTTCCTGAGTTCACGTTCTACTTCAAGACTTCAAAACCACAGAAGGTGCTTTGATAATGAATCTAAACACTTTATCAACCTGCAAATCTTTCCATCGTGCCTATCTCAGACAATAATGGAAGAGACTCCTGATCTGCCATACTTGATGTGGAGTGGCATTATCATGTTCTGGCTTCTAACTAGTGGCCTGTTCCAGGTAAAATAAGCTACATACAGAAAACTGATGTAAACATGTGCTTTGCCCAATTTATGTGTATCTAGATGCTGGAAGTTGTCTAGATTTGATTTGTTGTTGTCACATGATACAGTGAAAAGTGTTGTTTTGTGTGCTCCACAGGCAGATCATACCATAAAAAAGTGCATCAGGTAGCAGAACAGAGTGCAGAATACAGTGCTACAGCCACAGAGGAAGTGCAGACAGAGACATCAACATTAACATTTGAGAGGCCCGTTCAAAAGACTGGTAACATTGGGGAGGTGATGGATAATAAGATTTTCATCATGAAATATTATACCATTTGGTCTATACTCATGCATAAATGAAATGCTCAATGATACCACAGAAACACACAAATTAATGCATATCCAAAGCATTGTATCTTTGTTAAAGCAGAAAAATATGATACAAGTCAAATCAGTGGAGAAATGGCATAAATGAGTCTTGTTTATAGATGCTGGTAGAATGTCTAGTGGCAATGGACTAATAGGATGGTTTTCATGCAATGACTCTGTCAATTAATATCTCAGTAATAGAAGAGGAAATTACCTCAGGATTATCCCAGAACAGTGGATGCCTGTGGAGGGAGTAGATACTTAATGCAACCAGACAACCTGTGGAAATATAATTCACACATTCAGCAGCAATTTCAAAAGTGCAGGCACATTACCCATTCTTCTTATTTTCCAGACTGTACACTGCACATTATTTCCTAGGCTAGGTGGCAACCAGGTAGTCTGCTCTAACGTTTCTGCTAATGGCAATGGGCCTTTGAGGACATACTGGAAGTTGTGCAAAAGCCTTTTGACATCCCTTCTTTATGGAAAAGTGTCCAATTTTTTTCTGGCAAGTTCCTAACATCTGAGATGTTGGATGGTGCTTGCATCAAGTCAGCATCAGACTCAATAAATCATGAAAATCTATGGAAAATTTTGGAATTAATTATTGTAAACAATTTAGCTTTAATTTCAAGAACTTCAAGAAAATATCATTACTAAAGTTAGATTAATGCTTTGAATTCATTCCTATCAATTCAGTCTCTAGTATTCAACTATTGCATATCTTGCAGCTTCTCTTTTCTGTTCTCTGTTGCTCTTGAGACCATTGATCCCTTCCTCTGGATTGAACAAATAATTGAATTGTATTTTGGCAATGCTGAAGATTTGGCCCCTTTATTGGTCCTTCCACAATTTTAAGGCCCTATAAACATTCAGATCACTCATCACCATGCAGTAGCACTTAGCAAATGAAAAAAGAAAGGAGGAGGAAAAGAATAAAGCAACTTTTTCTCAGCAGACTCACTGATAACACCGAAGATGTTGTAGCTAGCAGGTAGATACAGTACGTCATTACATTGTAAAGTCATTCCATTAGCCAACACCAGGAGGTTCAAGGCACCCTACTCTAAGTACCCATACAATAGCCAGTCATCATTTGCTTCACCAATTCAGATAGCATTTTGACACATGCACAAGATTAGGAAGAATAGAAACGTGGCAGATAGTGTCATTAGAGTAAAATAGTACCTAAGTGTTAACAGTGACACATTGAGTGACAACAATTCATAGAGCAAATAGAATATTGAAGATCCGTGAAGTTAGAGTCAAAAGAACTGATGAGAAAGCAAATCATTCTTGAAAAAGAAATTCCACAACACACAACTCTGAAGTTTACAACTGCCATTGCAGCCATTCTTCAAACTTTACTGAGGTTACAAGTCAAGAGGAGCATCTTAAGTAATTTTGTACTGTAAATTTGCAAAAGCTCAGAACCACATCAAGAAGGCTAAAACTCATCACTCAGAGCATCACTAAAGCTGTTGGATACACTCCAAAGTCTTAGTAGAAAAGAATCAATGATTTTCTTTGCTAGAATGTCATTAATCAGATAAATGATGCGATAGCTATAACAGTGGCAGTAACCATTATCGTTTCGCTAGTGTCCATGATATCACTATGCACCTTTTCCCTGACCCGACAGTTGTTTATCGATGGATAATATTTAACAAGGATGAATACATGATTGATA